CATGGAAAAGGATTACAGACTGCCCTTTGTTTTCAGGAAAAGTCTCTTTTCACATTTTGAGGATGAAAATTGTCAGTTGGATACAGTATGATCTACATGTAGTAAGTGTTCAACACAAGAGTGCAATGCATTTTTGAAAAACAAAAACATTTGAGAAGCTCATGATCATTTCCTCTTGACCATTTAGGATAACATCTTTATGAAGCTCTTGACATTTGCCATCAAGTGTGACTTTTTTATGTGCCTTTATAAGTAAGCATCTCTAAGCATCTAAATCTTTTAAAACAAGACCTGGTGGTCATTAGGAAAACAGTATGAGAAATGCATCAAATGTAACAATTGTGCACAAAAGGTTATCCAGCTTAAAGAGATACAAAAATTGAAACACAGGAATCATTAATCGATTATGACACTAAAAAGCTTTTAAAGAAATTCTTTAGAAGGGATGTCCTGGGGGCCATATCCCTTGATGTATAAAGTAATGCAAAGTAAGGTAAGTAAGTACTTCAGGTAACCTTCTGATATACATTGTACATCAAACAAAAAGTGTTATTTGTGCTTCATAGTTTCTAAATCTTTACAAGTGAGAATTATGAGTTTCATTCTCATATTTACCAATCTATTATCTATACAGCACTTAAAACACATACTCGAAGTATGGAAACATGCTTTTTCCTCAAAAACGACATTTCCTGGTTAAGGAGAGAATGTGCCAGTTTTAAAGTTCATTTAATAGTTTAACTTTTATGAGCTCAGATTCCTTTGATGTTTTTTTTGAAAACAGTTAAAGTTTTGTAAGAGTYATGTACAACTATTTCAGAAAAGAAGGGGGATCATGGACAATCGTACCCCTRAAGATAAAAGCTAAAAGTTGAAAATTAAAAAAGGAGTCTGAGTCTGATCAATACAAGGAATTTGCCTGTGATTTAGTCTGGTTAAATAAGTGTTTGTCACAAAAATGCAAAGAAAGCAACAGGAAAGTCTCAAATGGTTAAATCWGAAATGGCTTTAGCAAGTTTGATGTCTCAATAAATACTCTGAGATCTARAACACGAGATTGCAAAGCATTCTGTGAGAAAATCTGGAACAGCTCATTTTATTTTGCTCTTGATCTTTTAGGTGTTAACTTCACATTGCTTTAGAAAAACATTTGATATTATGTAGAATATTGTGGTTCACAAGACAGGTGTGAGGTACTGAGGTAACATTTCTCAATAATTAAAAAGTTATTCATTTTAAGTTTATCATTTATCACAAAGGGCAAATCAAAATGAACTCTTATTTCTTCTCAATTTATAGTACAAAATTCTGAGCCCATTAGGAACATTGTTAAAATTGTTTTATTTAATGTCTAGCTCCACTTGTAATGKCCCTGAAAGTTAGCCATTTGCTCCAAAAATATGAGATCTAATTTCATGATTTTTTTTTCAAATCATAGGACAGCAAAGAAAATGGTCAGCTCCTTCTCTGCATTCCATCAGACACTAAGTCTTTCAGCACACAAGGATTGAAAGGAAAATTAGCTTTAGTTTTTGCAAAACCAAGTGGATGTCCCAAAATYGTTAAAAGAATAGAGAAAATAGGAACACTGCAAGGAAAGGATAAAATTGTTTATATCAAAATTGCAATATGCAACAGCAAAATACAATGAAAAAAAGATTATTTGGTTTAAAATAGAAGTTAAGACCATCATGAATAAYAGAAAAAGTAACTCAAGAAGATTTATCATTTTTTTACTATTGAATACTTTTTCTATTCAAACTTTATGCCCAAAAGAATATATCATGAATAATGCTAGAACTTGCCACAGAAATCTGAAGTGACACCTTGTAAGACCAAATTTGTAGAAGCTTGTTTCTTTCTCAGAATATTTACAATCTATAGGTACATGTACATTGACAGGGCTGTGGAAGAACCAGCAGCTGTGAAAATGCTATTTTGCAAGTACGTAGCTTTTAATCATTCAAAGCATATTCAAAGCTGAAAGTAATGGATGGCATTTGTTGTGTGAAGAAGAAGCTGCCCCTGGATGGCTAGGCAAGGATAAGTGTTCTGTTGAAATCATTTTACTGAATAGAATATTTTAGACAGTTTTGACACTCTGTACCTAACAGCCAAAGACTTAAAGAGRTGAAAAGGATATTGAAGCCATTCCTTCATTTCAAAAAGTACTCAATGTGGCAACAAGGCAACAATGGATTTTAACATTGTACACACCAGGAACTTTTTTCTGAATTTAGAGAACATAGAGTTACTACCTCATTCACTGAAACTGATTACTGTAGCTTACATCTTGCATTTAAGACAATGAATTCAAATACTGTGTTTACAACACAAACTATATTGAGAACACCCATATATTGAAACTATGAGAGAATCATCCAGCTGTCAGTTTTACTGTAGCTGTATGTCAGACCTAGTAGTAATTTTACTACATATAAATTTRTAATGTACATAAAAGTGTCCATGCTGACTACAAAAATGC